TATAAAAAGGACCCCCCAAAAAAGGATCCAAACTTAGAGAACTACTACCCATGGTACTAAGAGAACTTTAACCGTCGGGCTGCTCCAACACCTCGGCAAAGGCAGCCGCACTCGGAACCTGGCTGAACGCGAAACCCTGAAAACCCTGAACCCTAAACCCTAAATCCCATCATTGAAGGTTCTCTGGGGGCTGATCGGGTATTCATACGAAGCCCTAAGGGGTCTCTCATGTCGGCAGAGTTGTAGAAGGGCTGTGAAGCGACGTGTACGGGGGGCACTTGGAGGCTCGTGGGTAGTTATAGGTAGGGTTATACATCCCCTAATATGGGTTATAACTATAGTTACGCTAACTATAGCCCCACGAATAACTACCCATGAACCTCCAAGTATAGTATGCAGCTGTAACGTCTTGTCGGGGAAGAAGGGCCAAATTTAGGGCTACTCAAGCTATGTTGATTAGACAGCCTTGGGGCTTCCTAAACACCGAATCCCAACTGCCAAGCTAAGCATGCTGGGTGTAAGGGACATGGAATGGTAGCGGGCGCTAGTTAGTTTGACAAATGAACTTCCATCTACTCCCCGCAGCCCTAAACCCTAAACTTGAAATCTTGGATCCTAAAGTCTGAAGTGCTGAAGCCTCAATCCTTCTGGCACGGGCTGTTCCCATGGCAAAGACATGATCTGGAACTTGGCTCAGCGTTTACGGTTTGCCGGAAGGCTCCGGGCGCCTACACACAATTCCCAGGGACGAGACCAGCCCATCACCATGACCATCACCATCCACATTCTCATTCGCATCCCCATCATCCTCCTCGTCCTCACGCTCCCCAAAGACTCCAATATCCCTTAATCAAGGAATACACTTTGAATTATAGTAGGATCCCTAATATGCTTTAAGGTGTATTCCTGAACTAAGGGATATCGGAGTCTCTGGGTCATCATCTTCTTCTTCTTCAAGTCGCAACGTCCTATCCGACGCCATGCGAGGCGTATAAGTGGTCAGATCTTCGATCCGGTCACCTCTGTGACCCCTCGATGGGTGGCAAGCCTGCATACGGCAAAAGAGCACCTCATGCTCATAATGCTCCTCCTCCTCATCATCATTTATTATCCTCTCCTCCTCATCACCTTGTCATTATCATCGCTATCTAAACCCTAAAGCCTAAACCCTAAACCCCTAAACCTTAAACCCCTAACCCCTAGACCCTAACCCCTCAGCCTAAACCCCTAAACCCTAAAACCCGAAACCCTTAAACCCCTCAACCCTAAACCCTAAACCCCAGGCCCTAAAGCTTTGCCAGCCTCGGACTCAGATCCCAGCGGCTTTCCATTGCAAAGCCAGGTGCCATCGACACGCCTTCGCAAGTCAGGAGTCCAGAGGTTTAGGATTTAGGGGGTGTCGAGTTTAGGGTTTAGAGTCTAGAGGTTTAGGATCTAGGGGGTGTCGAGTTTAGGGTTTAGAGTCTAGGGGTTCAGGATTTAGGGGGTGTAGAGTTTAGGGTTTAGGGTCTAGGGGTTTAGGATTTAAGGGGGGTGTAGAGTGTAGGGCTTAGGGTTTCGAGTCCAGGGATTTGGGGGGTGCCGTGGCTGCCGCACTGCTCCAGCTCCCTCCCAGCTTCGGGATGTGTATAGAAACGAAGAAGCAGGAAGAACCCCTAAGGGTCCAAAGGACCTAAGAATCATGTACTTGGGCTACGGATAGTAGCTTTGTAGGTTCGTATTCAGAAGAGTATACGATTTATTAGGTAATTTGGAGCCTTAGGGAACTGTAACCCCGACGACTAAGTAGATGCAACACCCTAAACCCTAAACCCTAAACCCCTAAACCCTGTAGGCTGAGGTCGTGGCTCTATCTTGAGCTCTTCTGCGCAGCAGTCGCCTCGTTGGAGTAGGGTGTAGAAGGCCCCACATACACTCACAATAAACTAGTACAAACCCTGCATCAGATGATATATATACACATACATGTACATATATATATATATATATATATATTGATTTATTTATTTATTTGTTTTTCTATTATATTTAACGGCTTAGGGTTCAGGGTTTAGGGATGTAATTATTCCCAACATTGCTACTTGTAACAAACCCCAAAGGACTTGGCTCCGTACGAAAAGCCTGAGACAGGGGGGACTGTATGCGGACTATACGGAGTCCATGTCCCGCAAGCCCTGCTGGCGTCCATAAAAACATGGGGACCCTGGTGAAGACCCTAAGCAGTAGGATCATTCATAGCGTTTGGGGCTTGGGGTATGGGGTTTAGGGTTCAAGGGACCCTCAGTGTAAAACAGACTCAAATATACTATAACCCCTCCTGTCTATTGAACTCATAAAAAAGCTCTTAACTTCAAGAAAACTCCATTGATACGCTATGAAAAACTTCGAGCCCTCTATCAAAGCCCATCTTAGGGGCTGAGTACCCTAGCCCAAGAAAGGTTAACCTTTTCAATTATGGTAGGATGATATATAGACCCTAAAAGGTTAAAGGCTTTCTACGCAGCCACTAAGCCACAAAGCCCCCTAAACCCTAAACCCTAAACCCTAAACCCTAAACCCTAAACCCTAAGCCCTAAGGTAAGAAAGACCCAAAATCCATCACTAAGGCCCCGGGCAGCGAAGCATGTCCAGGCCTCGAAGTTTAGGGTTGGGGGTTTAGGGCTTAGGGTTTAGGGCTTGGGTTTAAGGTTGAGGGTTTAGGGCTTAGAGTCTGGAGTCTAGGATTTAGGGTTTAGGGGTTTAGGGTTTAGGGTCTCTAGTTTAGGGTGTAGGGTTTAGGGGTCAAGGTGCCGGTTTGCTGTAGCGCCACTAGAGATTAGAGGGTTCGTACATACTACCATTATGGAAAGATAGGTCCCCCAAACCATCATAGGGATGGTCTTTCGAAAAAACTCAAAGCGGTAGTAAGTTCATCTGACGGCTACTGCTACTGCGGCTGTCAAGGTTTCTATCAGGGCTCGGGGGTGTTAGGGTTGAGGGTTTGGGCCTTCAGGTTGAGAGTTTAGGGTTTAGGGTTTAGGGCGTTGAGGGATTCATGTGTTCGGTGTAGAGGTTTTAGAGAGTGCATCTCCTTTGCATTTGGTTAGAGAGCAATCCGCCTAGGATTCTGAGTCCACATTATGGACTACAGAATTGCCTTTAAGGTGGAAGGTCTTTCGCGTATATACGATCTGGCATCAAAGTTGCTGGTGTGTGTGTGTGGCAAAGATGCTAACCTAGGAGCCTCACGCAGCCAGAACAGCTAATATCGGGACCGTAATGCTTACCTACGTTATTTTGGGGTGTTCTGTTATAATCACAGTATAGTCACCCCACAACTGCCCCAAAACCCTATTCTAATTAGTAAGGCCTCCATATTAGGTGCTGTTGGAGTAGGCTGCATGCCAACACCTTGTTTCCGAATCATTCAGGCCCTTGTACCGAAAACCCTAAACCGCCGTTTCGGTGTTAGCGAGCGTGAACCCAAAGCTATGAAGCCCCAAACCTTCCCCCCCAGCCCAAACCCACGGGCCTGTATTGACCCAGCCTGCAGGCAGAGGGCAACGCAACGGCGGAGTTCTTCTGAGAACTGACCATTGTTTTCAGCCTTAATACGTAGTTAGAATAGGGTTTTGGGCCCCGTCATACTATGAATGTAAGAAGGACCCCCCCCCCCCCTCCAAAAAAAA